CTCTCTCTCTCTCTCTCTCTCTCTCTCTCTCTCTCTCTCTCTCCCCCCCCTCGCCCTCTCTCTCTCTCTTACTAACAAATCTCATATTTTTATTTGTTTTCCTTTTTCAAATCTTTTTTCTCTTTTTCTCTTATCATTGAATTTCTAATTCCCGATTGATAAATAATTAGCCGATAGATAAATAAATATTAAATAAATAATCTGATAATTAGCCGATTCTATTATTATTTGAGAGAGTCAATCGCAACAGCAAACGCAAGAAACGCCGACTCAACACGTCGCAAATACCGGCATGTATCAAAAATAGAAACAAGAAGATTACTCTCTAATAACCTACTTACGATACGTCCCGACGATCGCATGTCACTATTCCAGCACTGCCGGATACTTATTTCCGCGTGAGATTCACTTTCGACAGACAAAAGACACGAGCGATGTCGATTAATATGTCAATGACGCTGCACGACGCAAATAAATCGAAAAAATCGGCACAACTCTTGTTATCTGACTCCTACAACGGCGCGCCTTACATAGCTCCTCTCTCTCTCTCTCTCTCTCTCTTACTAACAGAACGAAATTCGATGTCTCGAATATCTCAGGTATCATCTGTCGCTCTGATGATCATCGGATTCCTAATTCCCCATTAATAAATTTGACAATTGTCCGGTTCTACCTAATCGAATGAATCGAAGACGCTAATAAGAGTGACGCCGACAAGACACGTCGCGACAAGTAACGATTTTGTGTGCCGAAAAAGGAGATTATTCGCTATTGACGTACCTGCGACACATTCTGATAATCGCACATTGCTATCTTCGACATTCCCGATACTTATTTATATACGAGACTTACTTACGACGGACAAAAGACGCCTAAAACGCAGAGCGATGTCGATCAATGTATGCACGGCGGTTGTTCGGCGCGAAAAGATCGAAATGCAAGATGGCCGCGTAATTGATGACGTGCGCAGTAAGTCGCGTCGAAACTTGAACGGTAGCGCGGCCAGACAGGACGCACTCTGTGAGGTACACCCTCTCTCTCTCTCTCTCTCTCTCTCTCTCTCTCTTTCTCTCTCTCTCTCTCTCTCTTACTAACAAACTAACGCTACCTGCTGAAATTCGACATCGCGAGTATTCGCGGGCTCTCCTGTCGCTCAGATTATCACCAAGTTTCTAATTCCTCATTAATAAGTCCGAAAATCGTTCGGTCCTACCGCTAATTGAACGAATCAAAGAGGATAATGAGAATGACGCCGAAAAGACACGTCGCGACAAGCAACGATTTTGTGTGCCGAAAAAGAAGATTATTCGCTATTAACGTATCTGCGACACGTCTTGATGATCGAACATCGCTATCTTCGACCTTCCCGATACTTATTTATATACGAGACTCACTTGCGACGAACAAAAGATGCCTGAAACACGGAGCGATGTCGATCGATGTGTTCATGGTAGCTGCTTGGCGCGAAAAGACCGAAATGTAAGATGGCTGCACGATTGACGAGCTACGGTATGAACGTTGCCGCGCTCTGCCCCGTACCATAGATGCCTCACCACCACTCGACATCAAGATCGATAATCTCCAAAAATTTTCAGCAAGCCGCATCCGTATGCATTTGTCATCACTGTTAATTAATCCAGAAAGCGGGATCGTGTTTTCTATATCAATTAACAGTAATGAGAAATGCAGTTATAGATTGGAAATGTGTTTAGTTACTATCGATCTACATCGATGGTTAAGTACTCGTGAGACTGAGTATACGACGTTCTTATTTCTTTATGATAGAACGTTACAATATTTATATCATAGAACGTGTGACAGATACGTTAATAGTGAATCTTCTTTCTCGGCACACAAAACCGTTACGACGTGTCGTATCGGCATCACTCTCACTATCGTTTTCGATTCGTTCAACGTGACCTCACGCGTAAACAAGCGAAAAATTTTTTCTCTTTGTTTACATTTCCGACTCGTGCATGCTTTGTTATGAATTTCATACATTGCTACTAAACACAGCGCGACATATCGCATATAAAAATTAATGTCTAAAAATTGCGACAGTCACATGTACAAAACTTATATTGCGAGCAAAGTAATCACAAGAGAGATCGTTACGTCAAATTGCTCTCCGCGAAATCGAAACTTACTTCCATGTGACGTAATTAGAGTACAACATTTATCTTTATTTGCCAGATGCAATCGCAAAATAAAAAAAAGAACGCGCATATAAAAAAACTCGAAAAATTAACGACCACGGCGATCATAAATTCTATCAACGCAAGCGAGATAATTGCGAATTTCGTCAGAGTAATTTTGACGCGTGTTGTACGTTGCTCAAAACAATTAGGAGATCGTACTGAAGGAACAGTTTTGCTGCATAATTTCTAACGCGTGAAGCAAGTGTATAAGAGAAATTATTGAAACACATATATACACAGGCACATTTTGTATTTATAGAAATATATTTATCAAAGAGAAAATTAGATATTAAGATTAACAAGTCACTGTTAAAATAAATAAATTGGAATAAACGATCACCTCTATTGCATTTACAGAAATATATTCATTAAAGAGAAAATTAGATATCAAGATTAACAATGTTTGACATTTCAAGTCATTATAAAGATAAATTAATTGAAATAATCATTTAATTGTATTTATAGAAATATATTTATCAAAGAGAAAATTAGATATTAATATTAACAATGTTTGATATTTCAAGTCACTACAAAGATAAATTAATTGAAATAAATGATCACCTAATTGTAACAAGCAGTGCATTTTGTTTAACGAACCACAAATATACATATCGCAAACACACAGTATACATACAGAATAACCTAACAGGCAATCTAAATTATATTGATTGAAATAAAATTTAGTAGCTATAATGTAACCTATAATCTCTAAATACATAATAAATATGCAAGTCATAACCTGTAAACTCATCTTGTCTCAAAAAGTTATTTCTCTTTTCAGTTTTCTCAAAGAACACCTAGAATCTAGAGACAGACACATTCTCCTACAAAATATATAATAAATAAACAATAGAATAAAAATCAGGGTTTGATTAATTAAATTCAAATTCAGTTCAACGAACAAATACTCACAGAGACATGTCGAGTACATTAACTTTCCACCAGATGCAATTATTGATTAAGTATTCATCTCTCTTCCTAGTTTTCTCACTGAACACCTGGAGTCTAGAGTTGACTAGAGCTCTGTCACAAGATATACAACAAAATTAAAGTCAAGACTTGGTTAGTTAAATTCAGATTCAATTTAACAAACAAGTACTCACAGAGATGTCGAGTGCATTAACTTTTCATGACTACAAGTATTAATTAATTAAATATTCATCTCTCTTCCTACACACACACACACACAGTTTTCTCTCGCCGAATACTTGGAGCTCAGAGCTATGTTCCACTACAAAATCAACAGAATAGAAGTCGAGACTCGGTTAATTAAATTCAGGTACAGTTTAACGAACAAGTGTACTCACAAAGGCACGTTGGGTACATCAACCTTTCGCAATTGCAATTCGAGTCATTGTGATGTTTACACCCCGGCTTTCGACAGCAAAAGGTTAAAACAGAGAAAGAGAACATTGCTTGCCTTCCCAACTCCACTCGGCTTAAATTGGATCCTCCGATATTGCATTCTCTAGATTTGCGTCCCTGACATTGTATTTGTCGCATTATTGTCAGTATTGCAAACCCGCAGAACAAATCGCACTAACTGAACCTCCAATCAATGCGTCAACCACGGTGCACTTGTCACGCGTGAAAGTCTTTTCACGCGTCTTTTTGTCCCACAATTGGATTACTGATTAGCACGAGCGCCGCGTCGCGTTTGCAAGGAGAAACAATTTTCTCGATTAATCAAAATCAATGGTGTCACAGCGCGACGGAGAAATTGATCGGTTTGTGGTGGATCAGCAAAACGAAAGGCATGCGTAAGTCCGGATCGTATTCTTTTGTACTTTATAATCGCACGATACGTCGTTGTTACTTCTAATGATACAATTCGTCGAGCATGACTCTTAATCATTCGACACGAGTCTCGACACGAAGATCGCGAAGGACACGCACGCCGCGACGTGCCGCCGCGAAATTCGTGTTGCACAAACTTGGACGAAAACGAGAACAAGCCGCGACGAAAACGAGAATAAACCGCGATGAAAACGAGAATAACGCGTGGCAGCGTATTACGTGACGAGCCGGCCGCGCCTGGGATTGTTGTGATCACGCATGACTGCAAGCTTTTTCGACGCGCCGAGGACGGGCGACCTTCGCGAGTATTGGTAGGTTACGCCGTTACACAGGGCGTTCGAAAACGGCGACGCGACGCGTTAGCGAGGTATTTCGATCGGGATTCCGCCGTGAGATTCCTCGCCTTGGCGAGACATGAAAATTCGAATGCGGGAAAAGAGAGGAACGATAATGTCAGCGTGCTCGCGCGCGACGAGGAAAAGCGCGGACTTTTAATAACGGCGGAGCGGCCGTTTCTTCTCGTTCGACATTTAACCGCTCTCTCTTCTCGCCTTTGTCGCGCCGGGCCCTTCTCGCGGAATTGTTTTTCTCAGTCTCTGCGCGCCGGTTACATCGTCGCTGCGAACTTCTAACAGTGCAGATCAGCAGAACTCAAAGCGTTCTCTCTTGTACCGACAATGTCGCTTCTCTCTTTCTCTCTCCCCCCCCCCCTCTCTCTCTCTCTCTCCCCTTTCTCTTCGCCCGTGAGAGAGATCCCGTAGGGGGAGAATAATATCTTAAAAGTCAGGACAGCATTGAATGCATCGTCGACAGTTTGCGTTTGTGTGTGTGTATGTGAGAGAGAGGAAGAGATGTTGAAAAGAGCAAAGACGCATGTTTGGAGGGACTTTCCGCGATCTTTCGAATGAAACTGCAACAAGCACAGTTCTCCAACGCGCCAATCCCCGTGCGTCATTTTCTCTCTCCTTCAAGTCCGGCCCGAATCTCGTGTTTTAATCTCTATCACATAGATCGTACAGAAAGGAAAGAACATTTTTATTTTAAAAATATATTTATTTTTTACATGTGAATCTTAAATTGAGATCGCATGGCGTTGAATAAAAATAAGTTACTTGCACCAGTATACTTTATGTCTGTCATTCATATCAAAGAGAAAAATATTCTTATTATTCAAATAATATAATTTATTTTATTATTATTGTATTATTACTTAATTAATATAATTTTCACTTTTTTAGTGAAAAGTATAATTTATTGGATTCAGAATATGAAATGTTTTTAAATATTAAAAGATATATTCAATGGTAATATCATCATTTATGAGACTATCATACTATCCAAATAAAATTCTACATAATACTGTTAAAGTATTAATAAAATTATAAAATTGTTGAGACTATAAAAATTCTCCTAACGAAATCATATATCGTTGATTACATTAACAACAGTTGTTAATTTCAGTATATTAATTTCAAGTAGATACTAATTCCTCTTTTCTGTGAATTTCTCCCGGTCGTTAGAGAATAATAAAAAATCCTGACGTCTCGCGCGTAAGAAGAACACTATTTCAAAACGCTTATTTTTTCGAAAGACGCAAAAAATACGGGCATATAACGAAGAAGAAGGGACGTTTTATGCATAAAGTTTTCTGAAACGTACGATCCAATTTTAAAGTAGCTTCCCGTTAATTCTGCCGTACTCGGGGCGCTTTCGCCGACTCTTCGCACCGGTCTTTACATGCGCTTTTTACACGCGTTTCCCGACACTTGCGGATTATCCGGCGAGTCGCCGCGGCCGTTGGAAGTTTCCGCGCGGAGAACAATGGACAAGTCAGAGGTGATCTCGGTGCAGGTGAACTCGCTTATTCCCTGCGCGAGAGCGGAAGTGTTGAAACCAGATGGAGCTCCGCGCCGCGCGCGGCAGTAAAGAACGATAACGCTCAGCGCACCTACGTACGCGCGCAAACCATAAAAAAGTATGTGGCCATTACGCTGCCGATGCCCGCGCTAAGTTTATAACGGTATTATTCCTATCAAGGCGAATGCGCCCCTTGCGGTTATGGCGTCTCAGAGGTCGCGCGGGACGTCAAAACGGCGACGGTATCCGCCTTTTTACATTTGCCAAAGAGACGCAATTGACGCAATGGCTGCAGAGATTAAATCGCGTTATCTCGGCGCCTTGGAATAACGAGTCGCGATTGTATGGACTACTTTTTCTCGGAAAACTTCGTTCATTCTTAAATTAAACGGCGACTCCTCGAGCTGCAACGCCGAACGTGCAACGTTCGTGAACGTGCATGAGGGTCGCATTGTCGAACGGGACAATTAACAAACAGTCGAACGAAATTCTTCGTCAGCGACATTGCTTTTCTATAGCGTACGTGTAGACCTTGTCTTGCATTCGCGGTGTTAAGCTGCGAGATTGCTCGACCACCGCGCTCGCGATGTCGATGCCAGGCACGCCGGAAGTCGACTTTATGGCCGCGGCCTGAACGCGCGCATACAGCGGACGGACTTGAGGCCGAAAAGGGGAGTGAAATTGGAGCGAAAAAAAAGAACTCCTGAATAAAAACTAAAAGTTACGGGGCGGTCGCGAGACCTGTGCCAAAAAGGGTTGAAAGCGCGACGGGAACGCGCTCTATTCTCTTTTCCCTCCGCTTCTTGCCTTTTTCGTTTTAATTTCACGCTCGCGCCAATTTTCGAGCTTTTCGCGAGCCCGGGAGGTCATCGGCGTCGATTTATTACGTCACGCCGCGGCGAGAAAGGGTCGGACAAATCGCTGAAAATTCATTCCCGAAGAAGATCGCACCGTACCGCCATTATTTATTTCTCGAGTCCGCGCCGGAAATCAAAGCGATTACCCGATCATTGTCCGACTGTTAGACATTCCGCTATAATAGCGCTCGATGTCAAGTGTTTCCGCGATTAGTAAATGGTAATTTCTGCATAGTAATGTTTGTCACGTTTAGTATGTATGATCAGCAATTAATGCAAATTTTTTTAACCTGTTTTTATTTGTAGATTTGTAGATCGCCTTAGTATATATTTTGTATATATTTAGAAGGAAATACATGACAACAATACGCGTTTTGTAAATGTATAGAATTAACGTATATAATTCAATATCTATTTTGTAGTTAAGATACAAATTTCCGGAAACATACCTAATATCTGGACATTCTTATTGTTTTGATCTTTAAATATAAATCATTAATTTTTCAACATAGAATTTATATGATACTCAATACATATATTTTATGTTGAAAAAGTTTAAATATTTAAAGACCAAAACAGTGAGAATGTCCAGCATTGGGTATATGTCTGGGCATTGGTTTTACCTTATTGTATCTAAAACTGAATGATTGTGAGAAGTTGTAGAGAATTGGAAAACTGTAAAACTCTGTCTAATTAAGACAATATATATCTAAGCTTCTGTATATAATTTTTTGTTTAATTTTCTCGCGAAAATCAATCAAGACGTGCGTTTTATTTGTTTAATTATAAAGAAATGAGCATTTTTCAAATCAAATCAATTTTCCAAGCTCGCTATTTACAAAAAGCTTCGTTCAAGTGTCCCCTTACAGTAATCTGGAAAACGTCTGATATACTTTCAACCCGGTTCGCTATCTTCACGTATTTTCTCTCTATCGATTTCGTCTTTACTAACCTTATCATGGCAACTCTCACTATTCCACGATGAAGGAAGAATCTGGACTTATCTCAAAGATCAGCCTGATCTCCGAAACGATCGAACTCCCATCTTCCACCGCGGCACATCGATCACTCGCGAGCGAATCGTTCCAGTTCTCGGGCATACTGGGTCTACCTTAATGAAATTAATGGTATCAGTGGCAGTCGTATATTGCCGGTTAGCCGGCGCTCTCGACAATGACGGAATCCAGTTGGCGAAACAACTTCGATAAAGCTACGATTCGGCCCGACAGTGACGAATACTCAACAGCGGCATTTTGGACTTGGGTTTCTACGTTTCATGTTTCAGCTCTTCTCTCTCTCTCTCTCTCTCTCTCTCTCTCTCTCTCTCTCTCTCTCTC